GGTGCCTTGGTGAGTTCTGCTCCAATTCTCTCCTGAGAATCAAGCACTGCTAAAATCAGACATTGAAATTTTCCATTTTATGTTCCACTTCTGCATGATATGGTTAATGTTAGACTTTAAGACTACGAACTTCACAGTAGCCTTTTATTGCTGCTCTGTGTCTTCCTGACTCCAAAATTCTCCTGGGTTTTATTAGGGTCTCTACATCCCTTAGGTTTTTAACCTCTTTTAAAAAGCAGCAGGCTCTTTCACCAAACACTGCTCCAGGATTTTTCTGACCATTTAATAGTTATTTGCTTAATATGACTCCTAGGTACAAAACATGCAAACAAAAGCACAATCTGCACTAAGGATATATAACTACTCCTACTTCCACAACAGCAGTGAGACCCCCAGCTTTGGAAACAGAGTATTACTGCTTGGCCAAGAAAGGCAAAAAAAAAAAAAAAAAAAAAAAAAAAAAAAAAAAAAAAAGCAAAAAAAAAAGGGAGAAAAAAAAAGAAGAAAAAAAAAAGAATAAGAAAAAAAAAAGCAGGACCAAGGACCAAGACTGAATGCTGAACAAAACTTTGATTTCTTCCCTGGTTGATGACTAGGAGCTACGTTAGGAGCTACGTGGCTATGTGAGGACAGAGGAAGAATAGCTCTTTGGACTTTAAAGGAAAAAGAGGAAAATGTGAAAGATACAAAAGGGAATATTAATGTCAACAGTTCCCTAGCACATGGCAGAATTTGTCATGAGCTACTTGAAATTCCTGGTAAAGGAAACAGCTGATCTTGTGCTGATAAAATATAGGCACTACATAAAACAGACATGGCATATTTCTTGGCTTCCAGTGGCATTTTCTGAAGAAATACTAGGAAATATCAGGAATAAAACAAATTAGCAGAATACCTTCAATGGTAGAAGAACATGGGCAGCTAAAAGCCTGACTAGAGCTGAAGCTCCCTGGAAGCCTGGAAATCAGAAGTGCATCTGTACCTGTCAGTATCAAGCATTAGCAAAGAGGAAGACTTTCAGATGATGGCTTAATTTCTAACAGCACCACCGAAAAGTTCCAGAACTTGTAATAGCTGTAAGGAATTTTCAGTAACGAAGGCTTGGTAAACAAGCTGGGAAGCTGTGTAGCAGAAATGAGACCAAGTATTTGAGACTAAGCAAGAAAATAAATACAGGAGAGAGGAATTCTCAGGAAATAACAAACAAATAAAACAAAAAGTAGAGTATTTTGACAATTTTGACAGATAGAAAGCTTAAGAACCAGCCTAAAGTCTTAAAGAACACAGGTATGGAGGAGAATGCTTGCAGAATGTTAGAAGATGTAGCAATCAGAATTTGCCATTCTTTATACCTGTGTTTATACACAGTGTCCTGACGCAAATAAAGAAACTGAGATACTACAAGGCTGAATATAGAAAGGTATGCCAACCAACCCAGAGACTAGTTAAATAGAACATGTAATAAGCATATTTTAGATAACGCTCAGCTTTGCCCAGCCAAAGAAGAGGGGAAGCAAAAATGGCAATGGTTGACCTCTCTGCATGTAAAAACATCGATATGAAGAAAAGAGCACCAAGAGTCTGAATAGCTTTCCATGGAAAGCTTAACACCTAGTAATTCTTAGCATCTTGTCAAGGATTTGTTCTTAAAGCATTCCATCTCTGTATGAATGTACAGTGATGACAACATCAGAAAAACGTGTCCACCCAATTTCGAAACTGAGACCCAAAGCTGCAAATCCAAATAGTCATGGATATTTAGTGTCTAATATCTATCTTAAACTTACATATTTTTATACCTATTTAGGTTCTTAAGTAGGTATTTCCCAAATAATCACTTTTTGATTTTGTCTTAGCCACCAGACTATCGGAAATTACATTTTACAACTGTAAAATAAGAAATTACAATTTACACCTGAGAGCCATTTTCAGTAAAAGAAAAATTAAAAAAAAAAAAAGAAAAAAAAAAAGAAAAAAAAAGCCTTGAAGACAATTTGATCCCAGGTAAACAGGCTAAATAAAAGTGTTTTTTTCCTTTTTTTTTTCTTTCATCATGAAATCTCCTGTAACAGTTGTCATGTTCCTTCTGTTGTTTTCTCAACTTTCTCATAAAGTGGATTTCTTATGTAATTGGCAGCTAGCAGAACATTTTATACCTTTGGTTTTTAATGTCTTATAATTTAATATTACCACATTTTCAATCATACTACACTAAGGCATATCACAAAAGAACATTGATTAATAAATGAATGAGGGTTACGCTCATCATGCTGAGAATGTAACCACAGGCACTATCTTGATTGTGAAAAGAAACACATGGATTCTCAAAAAAAAGTAGTATCAAAAACCTATGACTCATGAGTTACAAAAATCACAGTAAACTTAGAGATAAAAAAATTATTTTTCATACTATCCAAGATAAAATGTTGTATTATTTTTATATAATTTCATATAAGGCCTGCTTCTCTAGGCATCTATACTATGTATTCTGAATAAGCCTGGGTGAAATTTTTCATTATGCAAAAGCTGCAACAGTCAAATTTCTATGTAAATCTTACAGAGGAGTAAGGACAATCAGGACAATCTCCTTTATCTTGTGTTAAAATCTGCAGAATTCCAAGGGAAGGATTACTGCACTTACATCCACTGCTTAATAGTGTGTTGTACTGGAGCTACAGGCAGATACTGTTATTTATTAAATCACATGGGAATTGCAAGTATTGAACTCCTGGAAGTCCCTTCACAGCATGCATATCTTAAGAGTGCAGTAGCAGATCAGCAGAAGTCTACCTTCTTACTACAGCCACACAATTCTTGCAATAAAGCCTGAACACACAGATGTCACAGAGGGACAGACATTTCATCTTAATCTCTGACAGCAGCATAAATGCTGGCATAAAGGATGCAAGGGGAGTCATTCCCCTTTGTATTTATCCAAATAAATATCCCCCTTATTTATCTAAATAAATTTGTTTCTTCTGCAGTTGCTGGGAATGACATGATCAGTGAAGGCAGAGCAGGCTGGTACTAAAATTTAATTACTCCTGTGGTGTATTCATGCAGCTATAGCTAAAAATATCTGAGCAGTTCCTGTCTCAGAAAGCTTTTCTCTGCCCCCCTGTGTATATAACTCCCCTGTCACTAGCAGGATGCTCATCGCTGTGTACATTAGCCAGAGCAGAACAAAATTTCAATATTCACCTTTGAAGGATTATTTTTGGCAGTCAGAGACAAAAAAAAAAAAAAAAATGCAGTGGCCTAAAACGTCATGCAACTGGATGTGGAAAACATTTCCCAAAGAAGAATGAAAAGACTTATTCAGGGAAGAGTTAATTGTTTAACTACCACATAAACATAACACTCCTATTTGATTACTAAATTCTTTCCTGCTCTTCCCATAAAGAAGAAAGCAGCCTAGGCTGGAGACAGCTCACATAACTTTCTATTTATCTAGCTAAAATGTCTTCACAAAATGTTTCTCCCTTTAAAGCAAGGTTTATTTCATAGTATGATTGAACCTCTGCACAGCAGTGAGCATTCACACACTCACTACAAAACTCTAAGTAATATATTATGGGACTGTCACTCTAAGTACATTTAAAATGTACTGTGTTTACCTTACCAACAAAATCATTTTAGTACAGAAGTCATTCACATATACATTTCCTGTACAAGGAATTGTATTATATTCTAGCATTAATGTCCCATAAAGTTGTTACTGCCATAGGAATAGCAAAGACATTTCATCGCATTCAATGAAACATGCAGGAACAGATGATTAAAATGAAGAGTTGGAAGAACAACACTAATGAATTCATGCTTGTTGTTTGCTTCTGCCTAAAATATTTAATGGAATCTCAGCAGCAAGACAACAAGCAACATTTACCTGGTGGTAGAAACAAAAAAAAATGAGATCCTGACTTTGAAGTTAATGGCAAAACTACTATTAACTTCAGTTTGCTAAGAATTTCACCTGTCATGCTTCAACAAATGGTGGGAGGCAACTGTAGTGTTAGAAGGACATTGTCACACTTCCGCATTATAGCTCTTAGGCACTGAAAACATTTTTTTTTTAAAGAACATTCTTCAGTAGCTTCTAATCAAACTGTGTTTTCCAAGAAGCACAAGATTTCAAGCTCACAAGGGCTGGCAAATTTGCCCATGGGGAGTAATAATTATTATTAGGGAAAAAACAGATGTTGCCACTATTTTGTCCTGTACTGTCACAACTGATGACAGAACATATGCAAAACAAGGACTATGTCAGGGCAGAAAAATATAGGCCCTGCATATTCTAATCAACCACTGGAACACCTAGCACCTGAACATAAGAAACTCTTCTGTTTCTTGCACCAACTGGCAGGAAATAAGCATTTCAGCATGCACATGTGCCTTCACGTTATAACCTCCACACTTGGCTTTGGCTTCCCGAATATTTACCTCTCAGCTCAATAAATCAGCTCAATGCTCCTGGAGTGTGCTTGGAATTTTGCCTACCTAACTTCACTTCTTAACTTTTCAATGAAAATTAGATTCAGTAACCCCATTTCTAGTTTTTTCTTAATAGTCTATTCATACTCCTTTTTCACTTCACTTATGTTCATCTCTCCCTTCTGATTCACTTACTCAAGGGTGAAATTTAGCTCTCTATATATCAGTCTGGCTCAGAAACTTGCATAACTACTTCATTATGTATAAATGTACAAAAATGTAATGATGTTTATGACACATTATAGAAATGAATTTTGGCAAAGAACACAAAATATTATTGTTTTAATACATTCGTTTAAGCAATCAAAACTTGCACCTGAGTGACCGAAGAGATTCTAAGACAGAAATTACTTTCCCTTGTGTGCATCACATTGAAACTGAACTCCGTATAAGCATCTGGGTACGGATTACTGTAGAACCTATTTCAAATTGTACATTCTTTCATTTAAAGTCATAAAGTCAATTCAAATATCTGTGTAACATAAGAGCTTTTAATGTGTAATAAGTACCTGAATATGAACAGCTGTAGGTCTTTGTGTTTTCAGCAATAGTAAGAAAGGAGATTTTAGTCCTTCTTATTGTACCTAAAAAGGGATTAAAGTTTGTGCATTAGATGCAAGAAATGACTGCATTTAAAATTAGCTTGTTTCATACCAGCTTCTACAGCCCTACCATCTGAATATACATAAGGATCAATTAGCAGTTGCATAAAAAAGGAACTGTTCTAAGTTTATCCCAGTAGCTCACATCTACACAATGGAGAAGAAAAAAAAATAAAAAAGCTAACTATGCGACCAAGATTTTACAGTAACTTGGAAAACATTTCAGCCCAAAAAAAAACACCAGTTACTTCTGCAAAAGACTTGAGAACACTTCCTTTCTCCTGGATTTATTTGAACTGAATCTTGGAATTGGAATAAACTAGTGCAGTTCCCATCTTTTTTTGGAGAAAAAGTGTATGCGAGGAAACCATTGGGTTTTCTCATACATCTCCCCATCTGGAGGATCAAGAATAAGATTGGTGTCAGGCTAGAAACAGCCATTCCCTACATCTCCTGTTTTCTACCTTTTTTTTCTGAGGACAGTGTAAATGATCTTCTGCATGCCTGGAACAATATGATAAGCAAGGAAAAAAGATCTACAAACTTCTTGCAAATGGCAGCATTGCTTCCTTTACACTCATCCTTTCATTATGTAAAAGGCTTATAGTAAGATGTGAATCAGTCTATTTCAATTAAAATACACTTAACATTAGCTCAGTAGATGTGGTGGCAGACCATGCTTTGTCATCAAAAATGCTGGTGGTAAATTGTTAATCTAAATTAGTGAAATTAGTCCATCCCAAGGAGTATGGGTTGCCTCTCTTATATGTAAACTCACCAACAGCACAGTACTTTTCTGAATACATACAGAAGGAAAATACAGTAGGAAATATTCTTTCTAAATGCTGAATTGCCTGAAGATTGCAATTCTACCATGTTAGAGTTAATAATCAAAGTAGTTTCTCAGAGCTGTAAAATGGAAACAGATGTTGGCACTTACCTATTTCATGAATTAGGGGTGATAGAAAAATGACACAACAAAACTGTTAAGTTTAAGATGTCAGTTTTGCAGTACTTTCTTGCCTTCTAAATATTAAACAGTAGTTTGAGGTAACAGGAGATTCTGTGCATCTTTTTATCATTTCCCTTTAGCTCTTTAGGTGTGAAGAATTAAAACTATATAATCAGAGGTATTAAAGATGGAAAAATTAGTGACTTTTATTTTTATTTTTGATATAAGTCAGCTTTGTTGGACTGACTTATAAACTACAGTTCTTCAGATCCTCTTTAAATCGCTTCCTAACTAATGATGCAGTTATTATGACATTTGATAAGCATCTCCTTACCAGCTACACTTCCCACAAACGAAGAACACAAGCAGAAGCTTAATTGTAGTGGCTTCCTGAATATTTACCTCTCAGCTCAATAAATCATGATGGTTCACCTCTTCCAAAATCAATAACTATTTAATATTCTATTAAGTTGATGGGAGTAAAAGAACAGTAAACCATGTTTCTGCTATAGCAATGTAATTAACTACGACAGGGAACAATTCCCCTTTCATTTTGAATGGCAATAAAGCATCCGTTATTCAAGGAGCTTGATCGTTTTAAAATTGTATATAAAGAAGTGGACCATACAAACTTGGACTTAACTCAGTTTTCTGAATGGAAAGTTAAAAATTTGTTAAATTATAACTTTACTACTATACTGCCATGTTACTTCTGAAGAAATTCTTATGTTAACTGAGAATGACTCCTGAGATGATGATAGCCAGCCCAACTACATAAAGTCAATGAAAGAAAACTGTACAGTTTCCACTTGTAGATTAATAGTGAATATGCTGTCCTTTAAGACACGGAAATTCCAGATGGCCTAAGCTCATTACATATTGGAGCTTCGGAATTCCTTAATTTATATCAGTTGTATTATTTTGATTAATCCAGATTTACTTTATCCTTCTTCCATTTGCAGATAATAAAGAAGACTGAGAAAAGGAATTGGTTCTTCAAAGAAGAATGAGATTTCAAAGAAAATGTTATGCCTCTTATTAACAGAAAGAAAGAAAATATTACCATTCTCACAGTTTCTGACTACTCTCAAATACAATGGTAAGAGCAGTGAGGAACAATATATTTTATTAGAGGATCATGTTCTCTTACAGTGAGAAGTTCTCAGATAACTTCTTGTATTGATCACCTCAGTAAACTGAGAATATAGTCATAGATACCGTACCAATATGGATCTCATTTTTGAAGTTGAGGTAGAGGGTAGAAGGATTTGGCTTTCTCCTTCTTTTATTCTCAAGAGCAGCAGTATCAAAGATGGAAAGGATAATGATCGCTATTTCTTTTTAACTTAATCTGCATTCTTCTTCAATTTGTTTGTCTGTGAGAGACAGCAAAGGGCCACAGGAGCCAGAATTAAACAAAACCCATTTGCTCCTGCAGACTTTATACAGCTGAATTAATTACAGACTGATTAGCTGCTGATTTTTTTCTAACCTATGACTCTGCTCAGGTCTTATGCATCTCTACCACTTTTCACTCTACAAACTCCGCAGATTTTGTTAGCATCTTTTCCAATAAAATCACCTCTTGAAGGGAAACTCCTAAGCACGTGAACTGGTAAACAGCTGATCAGTACTTGCAAAAGGTGCAGTATAGGTATAAATTAAATACCACTCAAATTTAATGAATTCTGGTATAGCAATTGCTTTAAAAAGAGTATGTAAATCCTTTGCAACTCAGTGAGGGTGCTTGGAAAGACCAGAGCTCAGTAATGAATCTACCTCAAAGCTACATCACAACAGCCCCATGCAATCCTACAGGCCTGGGGCAGAGTGGCTGGCAAGCTGTGCAGAGGAAAAGGATCTGGGGGTGTTGGTCAATGCTCACCTGAACGTGAGCTGGCAGCGTGCTCAGGTGGCCAACAAAGCCAACAGCATCCTGGCTTGTACCAGGAATAGTATAGGCAGCAGGACAAGGGGACTGTCCCCTTGTACTCAGCTCTGGTGAGGCCACACATCAAGTAGTGTTCAGTTTGGGCCCCTCAACACAAGGACATTGAGGCCCTACAGCGTGACCAGAGAAGGGTTACAAAGCTGGTGAAGAGCCTATAAAACATGGCCTATGAGGAGTGGCATAGGGAACTGGGGTTTTTAGTCTGGAGGAGACTCAGGGGAAACCTTATTGTTTTCTATAGAAAGGAAGTTATGGGGAGCTGGGGGTCAGCCTCTTCTTGCATGTAATTAGCAACAGGACTAGAGGGAATGGTCTCAAGTTGTGCCAGGGGAGGTTTAGGATGGAAATCAGGAGACATTTCTTCTCAGAAAGAGCAGTCAGGAATTGGAACGGGTTGCCCAGGGAGGTGGTGGAGTCACTGTCCCCAGGGGTGTGCAAGGAAAGGTTGGACGTGGTGCTTAGGGACATGGTTTAGTGGGTGATAGTGGTGGTAGGGGTATGGTTGGACCCCATGATCTTGGAGGTCTTTTCCAACCTTAAGGATTCTGTGATTCTATGATCTAGCAGAGAGCTCTAATACCTCTTGCTTTTAACACTGACAAAGGTGGGTGGTTTTGGATTGAGTCTTACTAATTGAATTATTAGTAATAATAATAATAAGCCTGCAGATGTATCTTTAGGACACTAAGCTGACACTCTCACTGTCTTCCTGATTAAGTTCATGTATTTCAGAAGAATCAGCCTTTACTGGGGAATTCTGTAGTTGAATTCCAAGCTGTTGAGAGGAGGCATCCTCATAAAGTGTGAGATTTGTGAAGTTCCCCTGCATTTTACCATATGAGGCATTTGTACACTGGTGCGATTAAAAATAGATCAATTCTGCAGTCATATGCAACCCCAGCACAAACACCGAAAATCAAGATTCAATTTCCCTAATATTCACTGATATACATTTTATGTATTTTTTTTTGCCAAAAATATTTTCTTAAAACAGCACTGAATTCTATTTTTTAGATTGAGATTTTTTTTTTTCCCCAGAAGTGTTATTAAAATGATACCACGAGAAGATTTGGCATGGTGCATAAATGTCAGTTAATAATGAGATCATGCACATTAATGTCTTTATTTATTTATTTTTGTAGTGACTAGGGGAAAATGAAAACGTGGAATGAATTTTTAAAGGTAGTACTTTCACAATGCAGTGGGTTGACCTTGCCAACACCCAGCTGCTCTCCCACTACCCTTCCTCAATAGGTCAGGGGGAGAAAAGATGGAAAGGAGGAGAAAATAAGATGTAAAGGATTGTGAGCTGCGACAGACAGGATGATCGCTTACAATCTCGGGCAAAACAGACTTGGCGTGAGGAACATTTGTTTCACTTTTTACCTATTCAAGTAGACTTAGAGATTAAGAGACAAAAATTAAAACAGCTTACGACACACATACCCATTCTCCCTAGGCCCAGCTTCACTCTTACATTCCTCAGTGCTGCAGAGGGTGGGCCAGTCCCTGAGCGCCCCTCTCTGCCTCCCAGCCCCAGGGGCTGAGGGAGGGAAATCCCTGCTCCAGCGCCGCCTCCTGCCCAGGGGCTGCAGGGGGATCTCTGCTCCGGCGCCTGGAGCCCCTCCTGCCCTCCTCCTCCTCCTCCTCCTCTCCCACTGGGTGCCAGCAGGGCTGTTTCTCCCCCTTTCTCCCTTTCTTTCTGCCAGCTGCCTGGCAGCGCTGTGCCCTCTTTCTTCCCCAGGCTGTCCCTGAGGCGAGGCGCCGCCATCTTGGCTGCTGGGCCCAGCCGTGCCCTGCCGTGGGGCCGTTGGGGCCGGCATGGGGCAGCCCCGGCATCGCCCCACACAGCAATCACGCAGCCACCCGAGAACCGGGCAGCATCTGGGCACACGCATCCGTTACACATAACTTACAAAGCATGCCTTGGAGAATACAAGGGTGTCGTATGACCATATTTGTCATTAAACTCTGTATACAGTAAATTTGGGATCACATCGGGTCGGCAGTGTTATAAATGAAGTCTCAACTCACTCTGAATTTAGTAACATAAAAGGATATTTATAAAAGGCAAGTAAACAGCGCTGAGCGCGCGGGGAGTCTGTGCTCTACCAACACGCACACACGAACATCAAACATTCTAAATATACAGAACATTGCTTTACATACTAAACCCGAGTATGCCTATACATACGTACAATCAGAAAAGGTAACTAACAATCCTTTAAGTTCCATGACTTAACAGTCTCCATTTTCCATACCTTTTGAACAATATGTCTCGCTTTAAGTTGTCAAGCAACTCGGTCTTCAGGCCTTATGTATCCCGTTCTTCCCGGATCGAAGAAAAGCACATCCATCTCCTTTTCAAGGCCAACAGCCCTGGGTCAAAAGGCACGTCCAGGTCAACAGGGGGCGTAACAGCAAAGGCCCGCGATGGCTGTAGCAGCAGAGGGGCCCATGGCGTAGCAGTCGGATCAGTAAAGGAGCCCGCAGCTCCCTCACTGTCTGGCAAGCCACACGTTTCTGACTGTGGTCCCACAGGGCTCTTTAAGGCCTCAGAGATTGCTCGCCAGGTGCCGAGCAATCCCACTGGCACCTTGTCATTTTTAGTTGCAGAGTCCCACACCTTGACCTCAGTTTGGTCCCATGTTTCAGGATCATAAACTGTCTGACTGTTAATAAGGAGAATAAGCTGTAAGGTTGCCAGGATGGTCTTTGTTCCTAAGGACCTATGATTCCCCATAATGCGCAGCTGCTGACCAGCGAGAGGCAGTTGTGTGCACGGGTCTGCTTCTCTCATCTCGGGTATTTCCAGCTTCTCTGAGCGGTTTGCTGAGTCTGGCCGAACCTACCTTCATGAGGCGATCAGTGTGCCTGTTCCCGTCCTGGTCTCTGTTCTGCCAGCCTGTTCCTTTTCATTCCTTCTTTCTGCTTCTTTATTGATGACGTAACTTCATCACATCGTGTTGCCTTTTTTTTTTTTTTTTTTTTTAATCTTGAGGGCAGTTTCCCCTCTTATACCCTTCTCTCCACAGCAGTTCTTTTCAAAACAACTTTCCATTGGTCTAACAGCTTTGAATATAACGACAGCAAACACTCAGAAACTTCCATGCCTTAACGGCTGGAGAACAAGAAACCGGAGACTGCATGGAGTCCCCTGAATCACCCTTCTTTGTTCCCTCTAAACTCTTTTACATTCCTGATGGCCTCGTCCTTAAGAGTCTAATGTTATCTCAACCACGGGGCTTTCCAACCCCCATGGCCACACTCCCAAATCTCCCCCTTCTTTCTCCCCAATATCAACCATTGTCTAGACACGAATTACCACTCCATATATAACAGCAGTAACGTTACAGGTGTACACTGACTGGCTCACTGTGAAACATAAAATTGGTATTTGGGGAAATAACATGGTAGGACAAAGCTCTAGTTTCACAACAGAATGGGAAGGCAGACCTGAAGTTTTATGATTCAAGTGTAAGAATTTCTTAATTAAATTTAGTTTAGTTTTAGTTAAATTTAGTTTTTAGTTAAATTTAGTTAAAATTAGTTTTTAGTTAAATTTAGACTACTGTATGCAGTGACAAGTGTACATCCTTCTAAAATAACTTTTATAAGATTTGCAAGATATATTTCACACAAGCAACTGTGACTGGTTGGGCAGCATGTTAAGAGGCTAAATTCTGAATCTGGTTCATTGGTGAGAAAATAGACACAATACTTTGTCAGTGCAGTCACCTCTTACTTGCATAGGGATAAAGCAGGCCCAGGATTCCTGGTTTGTTTTAATACAGAACTGTCCTGTATGGCCAATCTTATGATACTCTGCTCATAATGCTTCTGGAATCTCTAAAGAAAAGGAAAAGTAAATGTAAAAAAGGTTTTAGCCAACAGATTGAATAATTAAGTACTCCTGCCAAAGCAGATGTTATTAAAGGCATCAATAATTAAATGGCAATAACTGCACTTATTCCTAGAAGAGAAAAATGTAAGAGCTATCAAACTGCTAAATCTATGGTGGAAAAAAAAAAAAAAAGTTTTAATACAATTATTATGAATTAGCAATTAATAAAAATCACTAGTTAGCATTATTATATTATTATACTCCAAATACTTGCAGAGTGGGAAATGAGAGAAAAGGAGTTACCAGATGCCTGCTCAGTGCTAGCAGCAAGGGCAAGAGACCAGACCTGGTGACCTGAAGGATGTCAGCATAGACCAATATGAACCACGCAACCTGCAGGAGGCCCTTATGGCTCAGGCTGCGTTTCTCAGCATGTGGTCTTGATGCTGTGATGCAGGGGTAGTTGTCCTGCAACCTATGCGGAGGTATTACTTAAATCAATTTAATCTGATTTAAAAGGAAATCGAAGCTACATAAATTGCAATTGTCAGTGTCCGTAGATTTAAAT